CTCTCGCAGTCAAAATCATTCATCAGTTCCAGCAGCTTATACTCACATCTCATTCTCAGCTCTCGCAGTCAAAATCATTCATCAGTTCCAGCAGCCTATACTCACATCTCATTCTCAGCTCTCGCAGTCAAAATCATTCATCAGTTCCAGTAGCTTATACTCACATCTCATTCTCAGCTCTCGCAGTCAAAATCATTCATCAGTTCCAGCAGCTTATACTCACATCTCTGGCTCAGCTCTCGCAGTCAAAATCATTCATCAGTTCCAGCAGCTTATACTCACATCTCTGTCTCAGCTCTCGCAGTCAAAATCATTCATCAGTTCCAGCAGCCTATACTCACATCTCATTCTCAGCTTTCTGCAGTCAAAATCATTCATCAGTTCCAGCAGCTTATACTCACATCTCTTCTCAGCTCTCGCAGTCAAAATCATTCATCAGTTCCAGCAGCCTATACTCACATCTCATTCTCAGCTCTCGCAGTCAAAATCATTCATCAGTTCCAACAGTCAAAATCATTCATCAGCTCCAGCAGTCAAAATCATTCATCAGTTCCAGCAGCCTGCACTCACATCTCATTCTCAGCTCTCGCAGTCAAAATCATTCATCAGTTCCAGCAGCTTATACTCACATCTCATTCTCAGCTCTCGCAGTCAAAATCATTCATCAGTTCCAGCAGCCTATACTCACATCTCATTCTCAGCTCTCGCAGTCAAAAATCATTCAGTTCCAGCAGCTTATACTCATCTCATTCTCAGCTCTCGCAGTCAAAATCATTCATCAGTTCCAGCAGCTTATACTCACATCTCATTCTCAGCTCTCGCAGTCAAAATCATTCATCAGTTCCAGCAGCTTATACTCACATCTCATTTCTCAGCTCTCGCAGTCAAAATCATTCATCAGTTCCAGCAGCTTATACTCACATCTCATTCTCAGCTCTCGCAGTCAAAATCATTCATCAGTTCCAGCAGCTTATACTCACATCTCATTCTCAGCTCTCGCAGTCAAAATCATTCATCAGTTCCAGCAGCTTATACTCACATCTCATTCTCAGCTCTAGCAGTCAAAATCATTCATCAGTTCCAGCAGCTTATACTCACATCTCATTCTCAGTTTCTAGCAGTCAAAATCATTCATCAGTTCCAGCAGCTTATACTCACATCTCATTCTCAGCTCCATGCAGTCAAAATCATTCATCAGTTCCAGCAGCTTATCTCACAATCAGCTCACAGTCAAAATCATTCATCAGTTCCAGCAGCTTATACTCACATCTCTGTCTCAGCTCTCGCAGTCAAAATCATTCATCAGTTCCAGCAGCCTATACTCACATCTCATTCTCAGCTCTAGCAGTCAAAATCATTCATCAGTTCCAGCAGCTTATACTCACATCTCATTCTCAGCTCTCGCAGTCAAAATCATTCATCAGTTCCAGCAGCTTATACTCACATCTCATTCTCAGCTTCTCGCAGTCAAAATCATTCATCAGTTCCAGCAGCTTATACTCATATCTCATTCTCAATTCTAGCAGTCAAAATCATTCATCAGTTCCAGTAGCTTATACTCACATCTCTTTCTCAGCTCTCGCAGTCAAAATCATTCATCAGTTCCAGCAGCTTATACTCACATCTCATTCTCATTTCTCGCAGTCAAAATCATTCATCAGTTCCAGCAGCCTATACTCACATCTCATTCTCAGTTCTCGCAGTCAAAATCATTCATCAGTTCCAGCAGCTTATACTCACATCTCATTCTCAGCTCTCGCAGTCAAAATCATTCATCAGTTCCAGCAGCTTATACTCACATCTCATTCTCAGCTCTCGCAGTCAAAATCATTCATCAGTTCCAGCAGCTTATACTCACATCTCTTTTTCTCGGTTCTAGCAGTCAAAATCATTCATCAGTTCCAGCAGCTTATACTCACATCTCATTTCTCAGTTCTAGCAGTCAAAATCATTCATCAGTTCCAGCCTATACTCACATCTCATTCTCAGCTCTCGCAGTCAAAATCATTCATCAGTTCCAGCAGCTTATACTCACATCTCATTCTCAGTTCTCGCAGTCAAAATCATCAGTATCAGTTCCAGCAGCCTATACTCACATCTCATTCTCAGCTCTAGCAGTCAAAATCATTCATCAGTTCCAGCAGCTTATACTACATCTCATTCTCAGCTTCTCGCAGTCAAAATCATTCATCAGTTCCAGCAGCTTATACTCACATCTCATTCTCAGCTCTCGCAGTCAAAATCATTCATCAGTTCCAGCAGCTTATACTCACATCTCATTCTCAGCTCTCGCAGTCAAAATCATTCATCAGTTCCAGCAGCTTATACTCACATCTCTGTCTCAGCTCATCAAGGCAGTCAAAATCATTCATCAGTTCCAGCAGCCTATACTCACATCTCTGTCTCTAGCTCTCGCAGTCAAAATCATTCATCAGTTCCAGCAGCTTATACTTCACATCTCATTCTCAGCGTTCTCGCAGTCAAAATCATTCATCAGTTCCAGCAGCTTATACTCACATCAAAACTAATTCTCAGCTCTGTAGCAGTCAAAATCATTCATCAGTTCCAGCAGCTTATACTCCACATCTCATGATCTCAGCCTCGCAGTCAAAATCATTCATCAGTTCCAGCAGCTTATACTCACATCTCTTCCTCATTCTCGCAGTCAAAATCATTCATCAGTTCCAGCAGCTTATACTCACATCTCATTCTTGGAACAGTTCTAGCAGTCTAAATCATTCATGTATCAGTTCCAGTAGCTTATACTTCACATCTCTTTCTCAGCCTCTGCAGTCAAAATCATTCTAGCAGTTCCAGCAGCGTAGGCTATACTCACATCCTCATTCTCAGCTCTCAGAGATAAAATCATTCATCAGTTCCAGCAACCTATACTCACATCTCATAAAGCGGCGTAAAGCTAAATATGCACGCACAAACACATACACGCACACGCACGCACGCGCACGCACACGCACACGCACAAACAAACAAACACTGGGTCTTTTGCATATGTGTAACGTCCCATTAAAATATTGCTTTTACAGTTAAACTGTTCTCATATTACAGAACAGGTCAACCACTTGGCGAGTATTGTAATATTTGATCATGCCTACAAACCAACAACAAGATCAAATACGGAAACCATCTAGAAACATCCCCTCCTACTCGACGTCCCCATCCAACATCCTACATCCTACATCCTACATCCATCCCTCTCCTCCCTGACACAGCATGACAGCGAGAGAGACGCAACAAAGAGCCGTTGCTGCAAGTTAACCATTGGTGATATGCAATGAGACAGTTGGTCTACTTCATGTCTAGCGGAGACGTGATACTCATGTAGAACACAATATCATTCTGTTAATGTCACTGCACACATAGATGGACGTTTGAACATGATGCAGTCACTGTGTTACTGTTAGAGTGCGCTTGGCGCCTTTCACCACAAGTCGATATCAATTACCAGGCGACTCCCATCGCCCACAGCGACGATGCTGCTTGATCAATACTGCCTGACCTACTAAGACCTGCTCTAGACTTCCCTCTGACCTACAAGACCTGCTCTAGACTCTTCATTGACCTACATTTGTTTGCCCTAAATATTCATTTGACCTATTTTTGAGTGCTTAATTATTTCTGGTCCAGAATCTTTGGACGATAACTGGGCCAACGCCAAAGTAGCATAGCTGCCCTCATCAATAACGTATCGTATGTTGTTCATGGTGATATACTGCACACGCGTTCTAGTCACGCCCGTTTCGTTTCTTCGCGTCTTTACCCTGCCAATGATCCACCATCAAAGTAGTTTCAGACGCAACTGTGCCCAATAAAGTATCTGTATATACATGTACATCAAGTGCTATTGGTTACTGATTGCACACGGTACTGTGAGTTGGCCTCTATGCACCTGACTCACAAACTCTGGTCCAGTGTATGTGCCCGTTCCAGACAACCTTCCGTCATCTGCATGTGACTCTCCTGTTGTCTACTGTATGTGACTGAGCAACACCTACTGCCTTATGTACATGACTCAGGTAAAGCTACTGTCTACGACTCCCAAAGACCTATTGGCTCCAGTATGTGTCTATCAGATACCTGGTGTCTTCTGTATGTGGCTCCCAAAGACTGTTGGCTCCAATATGTGTCTAACAAATACCTAGTGTCTTCTGCATGTGGCCCACAAACACCTACTGTCTACTGTGTGTGGCTCCCAAAGACGCATTAGCTCCAGTATGTGACTCACAATCACCTTCTGCATAACGTACATGGATTGTCCATTACCTCTGACTCATAGATACCTATATGTACCTTTATCTACCGTCTAACAAGGACATGGCGAGGAGTGCATCTGATCAACCAAGAACGTATTGAAGCAGACTGGTCCTGACAAACAACTTGTTGGAATGAACTGTTCTAATTTGTCATACACACTCTGAAACAGACATCCAAGAAAGTCCAAGAAATGTGGCGAGTCTAGATCATCACAGGTTCAGCTTCTCGAAATGAAGAAAGTCTCTGGAATATTTTTCATTATATTTTAATGAACATAATTTAGGAACCGTTTTTTCTGTGACAAGATGTTAGTCTTTGACTCAAGAACTTAGTGTAGTATCTATGTGACCCACACGAATATAGTGTTAACAGAAGGAGATCCCCAAGAACACGGTGCAGACCACACTGTTCTTGGCCACTCAGGAACATACTGGAAATTGTTCCTTAATCAAAAGAAAATGTAGAACTTACATGACCAACAATAAAACAACATATCCTGTTCCTGACCCACAAGAACATGATGTAGATATCATCTGACCAACGATAACTAGAACTAACATGTGAACAATCAAAAGCACCAAGTATCTACACACTGTTCCCACTTTTCATTCAATTCAAATAGACCTCCTGCTTTTATTCACCCTTCTAAATCCTGAGCAAAGTTCCTAAATGGTCTTCCCTGTAAGTGTGTTTTCCCGTGTACCTTGCGCCTCAAAGAACAATTGTAC